GAGAGAGAGAGAGAGAGAGAGAGAGAGAAGAAGAAGAGAGTGGCACGGACTCGCGCGAGAGTGCGTGCAGGGCTTCAGTTTGTGATGCGGGGCCCGAGAGTGCCGTGACACGAGCCGCAGGGCCGTGAGTGTGCGATCCGCTGGTGAGTACAGCAGCCAACATTCCGTCGAGACGGCCGAGGAAACCACCAGCCAAGGTCACGGATATGCTCATCAAGGAGACGTCCCTCAGGTACTACGATTCCACCCTGTCGAGGCCACGAATCGATCTGGTTGCTCTTCTCTCTCTCTCTCTCTCTCTCTCTCTCTCTCTCTCTCTCTTCATTTCTCACTCCAGGCGACTTGTCGGGAATCCTGAAATCGCGCACGCACACACAGACACACGTTCGTCTACGATTCTCGACGACAAGGGCCTCGTCCTCGTATGTTTCGCATGCTTTTCCGAGGGGGGGATTTCGATCGATCGTCGTCGAAACGCTCGGAGTCGGAACTTGTTCTGCGGACGGAACAAGAATTTCGGGTTTCCATTAACGCACGGTGTGGACTGCTCGATTCCCGAGGAATTGAACCCGGGGAATTAATCTAATAGTTCCGAAGTGTCGTCGCGAAGTATTGATCGAATCGACCGTTTTCATTTTCTACAACTCGAACGACTTCGAAGGGAAGCAAGCCATCGATATTCTTTCAGATCTCACGTATCCATATTCCATAACGACGGAACGGAAATCCGCGAGAGAAAAGAAATGAGAGAGAGAGAGAGAGAGAGAGAGAAGAAAAAAAAACGCCGCGCGGAAAATGAGAGAGGGAAAAACGTTTAACGGGTATTTACGTGGCGGAAGTTTGGCGGAGGAACGATTAAAAGGCGGTGTTTGCCGGGTCCGAAACGCGCGTAAAGAGAACGAACGACCGAAGGAAGACGCGGAATAGATTCCTGAGGGATATATCCCGAAGGGGTGGCGGAGTGGCGGAGCCACCGAAACAAGGGTGAGCCAGGCCTCGAGTCCTCGAGCCACGGATACACTCGTGCCACAATGAGGGAACGGCACTCAGCCACTGAATCAACCCCTCAGTGCCCTCTTACTCCCCTCCATCGAGGGCTTTCCCTGCTGCCTCTCGTCCAACGGCAACACCCTCTCGCGCTCTTCTGCTTCTTCAACACTACGTGATTATTTCAAAAAGCTTCGAGCCAAGAGACCAGCTATCATCCTCTCTCTTTCTCTTTGTCTTTCCCGTCGACTCTGTCCTTCCCTCTCGCTCTCGCTCTCGTTTCTCTTTCACCATGCGTACAACAAACGCTCGCGCGCAAGCAAGCAAGCAAGCAAGCAAGCAAGCTACCATCCACCCTCCTATCTCTCGAGTGAAAAGGACGAAACTCATCCACGTCCCTCTCACTGCCTACCGTCGGCCTTGTAGGGGTAGGTCGCTTTACGCGGTGCCTCGTTTACCTTCTTAAACGCGCGGAACAACCATTTCCCGGTTTCGAGCCGGTTCCTCTCTTGAGGAGGTTAGGGCTAGACCGAGCCTCTCGTCGATTTATTACCGTTCCTCGACGCGCTCGCGTTTATTGCGTCGGTGTAACACGTCTCTGTATAATAAACGGGACGACTGGGTAACAAGCGGTCCGTTGGAATATTAAACACGAATATCGAAAAATATTCAGCGGACGGCACGTGGAAATAGAAGTTGACCCGTTTTTCGAAACTGTGCTCTCACGCCGTTAATAATTGAAACGATTGAATTACTCCGTTTCTGTCAATCACTCTATCTTCGTGTGAAATCCGACTTCACTTTGCTCGGACGTCTTTCCGTCGTTTACCTCTATATTCTAAAATTGCTCGCTCCGACCGTGCGACTCGGCGTCTCTCGAAAAATTCTGTCGCCGGTAACGCGCGCTCGGAGGGTTAAATCAAGCTCGCGGTAAATTGAAATTTCGACGCAATATCGCGGCGACGACGACGAAAATAATTCACGTTCCAAAGTAATTCCTCTCGCGTCGGCACGCCTGCAGCACCTACGAGTCTCGTCTCGCGTATCGGTGAATTTCCACCGGTTTCTCCGATTGCGGAGG